GGGGGGGGGGGGGGATGAAGAACAAAAATGTAGCAAAAAGGACATGTTTTATGTATTATTCAAAGAAAGGGACCAACTTGTTTTGAAAGATCAAGGGCTTATATTGCAATTATGCGGAAAATATGCTGGATAGAAAGCTGAATTGGACCATATTGCAAATGGGCATAAATTGCATGCAATCGCAAGGGATTAATAATGAACTTGCGATCGCAACTAATTGTATCATGTGATTGCATGGTAAAAACAAGGAGAAAATATTTTGTTTCCTTTTCAATTTTGTCCATCTTGTATAAGACAAATTGATCAAAGATTTAATTTAACTTGATATGCTAACAGGCTTACGCATTTTAACTCAAATCAAGAATCGACAGGGTTCGAATCGATTCTTGATTCCTGAACTAGAATCTTGGGTATTTGAACATAATCGATTTTTTATATCAATTTTAAATTTTACAATTTATAGAATGAACAAAAAAATACAAAACCTAAAAACTCTAACCGAATAGTAATTTGTCTAAAACACTAGACTCTAACCCCCAAAAATATGTCTGGCTTTTACATTTTTGCCTCTCGCCTCAAAGCAGATCATTGCATATCAAAGGTTAACATATGCTAATATTTGGTGTTAGTTACCTCAACAATCACCGACCTTTACCTAAAGTTTCTACCAAGTCACCAAACTTTAAGAACTACGTGGTTAGTCACTCAACTTTCGTAACTACAACCCCATCCATCATCGAACAAACTTCTGTTAAAAAATCTAGAATAATTCCTCTTGAACATGCTCAAAAACAAAATTGCTAGAAACAGACTGGTGTGTGAATTAATAATTGAGTATTATGTTTATATATATATTTTTTCAAACCTTTCAGTCCCGAATCAACAAGCGTCTCCCCTGTTTTGAATCTATCTCCAAGCATGTTTGAAAAATCTAACGAACTTGATGATGTGGCACTTTTGTGTTAGTAATTCAAGCCAAATAAGAAAGGTACTAGTGACGTGGATTATATTTTCAACAACAGTTGTAAATTGCAGAACATTATCTTAAGTGAGTATCCCCCAAACACCAAATTTGTACCACCACAGCTGGCATTGAGGAACAATCAGCAGGTTAGAAAGCATTTTCTTCATCTACTCTTGATTTGGTATCTGGGGGTTCTTGATTTCAGGCTGGACGATTTACAGCTTTTTATCGTCGATTTCCGGCTGTTTGTCGGCAAATTTCAGCATCCGCCTCTCAATTTTTCGTCGCTACGGGTTTGAGCGCTTCTCAATTTGAGGAGAATGCGTTCCAGGAGATGTTTGTTGTTAAATTCAATTTGTTTTTTTTTTTTGGGGTTAAAAACGTGTTTCAAATTTTCAATTACAGCACCATTCAAAAATATTCCACATGACTAGCACCTTTCTTATTTGGTTTGAATTACTTGCACAGACGTGCCACATTATCAAATCCGTCAGATTTTTCAACAGAAGTTTGTTTGATGATGGATGGGATTGCAGTTTTGAAAGTTCAGTGACTAAACCCCATAGTTTTTAAAGTTTAGTGACTTAGTGAAAACTTTAGTTAAAGTTCCGTGATGATTGGGGTCATTAACCTCTAACCTTTGCGATTTGGACTTTTTGTGAATCAAAAAGTTCAAGTTATGATCGTGATGTAAGTTGATGAACGTTCATTTTTTTATTAGTATTATTTTTTTTTTTGGGAATTCAAGCTTTTTAATTTTATTTTTTTGCATTATTTACAAACTTAAATGATTTTTTAATCTTTTTTTATAACATGCGACAATTGAACTGGATATATTCATAATTTGAGTTGTGGTGAACATTTTTGGTTATCACGAGTTCGTGGTTCTTTTTTGAAATATAATTTTTTCCTTTTTTTCCTTTTTACTCAAATAGGATGAGTTCAATATGTGGATTGCAAATTTTTTTTTATACTATATATTTAGATAGTATTTTTTAATGTTAGTTTGTTTTAAAAGTAGAAGAATTTAAACACTATCCACAATTAAATTATAGGCTCTAACATGCCTCATTTATGGATCAAATAAGATTTATTAAGAAAAAATCATTTCTTCTCAAAATGTAATTTAATTTTCTCCTATTTTCGTGATTTTTAGTTTCCACTAATTTGAGTCATGTAGCTGAATTTCTTAACTTCTTGAAAATTTTTTAGCTAGATTTTCTTCCCTGCATAAATATTATCAAGTAGTAGTTTGTTAGGTATTTATCAAAAGGGCCTTTATGAAAATGTTTATTAAATACAAATTTAAAAAAAAAATGTTATGGGTAGAATTGAATCCAAATCGAAATCGAAGATTCGAGTTTGGGTTTGCATCCAATAATTATAAGGATTCGAATGGTTCCACTTACGAAATATCCAAAATATAATGGGTGGTTACGAGTATTGAAATACTCGGACCGACCTAATCGATGCCTAAGTCTAGATGTTAAATTCAACATTCTTCGTTCAAGAACGTGGAAAATAATGTTAAGAGATTAAACGCATAATATATCAAAGGATTGAGATAAAAAGCAATGGATAATTCATAATCAATTTAAGACTCATTCAAAGGAATTCACGAGGTGAAATTGATTCTCTTTCTTCTTCTTGCAAATATATTTTTGGGTGTTGAATACTCAATTTTTTTATTTTTT